GTAAACTACTCTCCACCCCCCATTCTACACTTCTTTTTTTTGGTACGGGGGATCAAACTCTGGTCCTTGCGCTTGCAAAGCAGGCGGCGGAACCCCTGAGCTAACTCCCCGGCGCCCCCATTCTAAACTTTATCTCCCCCCAAAGTCACCAGTAAGTCTACACCACTAAACCCAATGGTCTGTCTTGCAATCCTTTCTTACGTGACATATATTTACTTTTTACTTATTTATGCGTGCACGCTGTGGACTGAGCCCAAGGCTTCATGCAAGCTCATTATGTGCTCTACCACTGAGTTACACTCCAGCCCTCTCATACAACCTTTAAGAAGGACTTAACACTACTATTCCTTTCTCTACACATCTCCTCCCTGGCTTCCAAGGCCCTTTACGTGGCCCCTACTGCTTTACTTGACAGCAACTTTCCTTCAACGTGACAATTAAAATGAAAATGTTTTTATTCTATATTCAGTCGTTCAGACTCTTCTCATTCTAATTTGGTCCCCATAAGCCACTTTGTCCCTCTTCATACCTCGCCACTGTCTCCAGCCCAGACGTCTCCACACCCAGCACCCAGGGGATGGCTCAACTGTGCCTCTAACTCAACGTGCCGAAAAGGGCAGTCTCAATCACCTCTTCCATGCGGTCAGGTACAACAGACCTGGACCTGCCTCCCTCTCCCTTACTGTCAACCCTGAAGTTTTCATCAGGCCATAGCTTCTTTCTCAGTTCTTGGTGGATCCTGGACACAAGATGCCATCAATCTCACAGCCTTGACTACTAAAATTACCTCCTAACTGATCTCTAGCAACTTCTGCCTTTTTAACCTATTTGCTATGGTGTCTACCTATCACCCACCGCAATCGAACATCTCGAAACGTTTAGAATTTGCACCAACCTTAACACAGTCTGCAAGCCATGGATGAGCAGGTTTCCACTCAGCTCTCCATCCCACCCCACCCCACTCTCCCTTGCTCTCCCTGCTCCACCATACTGGTCTTCTCTGTTACACAGCATTCTGCTTCTACCTGAACCCTCTTTCTTCTGTCCTTCAGGCTTCCGCTCAAACAGCCCTTCCTTATGGAGGCCTTCTTGGCTCACAGGACTAAGTCAAAAGCCCCCTTAATTGTTTAAAAAATAACACACAAACCCCTTATTACAAATTCTCATGGCACCTGAGCCTTTTCAATTGAGCACTTAGGAAAAGTGGTAATTTTACATCCATTGGGGATTTCCCTCACCTTCAGAGGTTCTTCTTGAGCCACCTGCTCATTCAGCTTTTTGGTGTAGGCATCACAGATTTCAGTCACTTGCACAAACCCCTGGAGGCCATTGGGGAGACTGATCACCAGTTCCAGCTCATTTACCTCTTTGACACAACCCAAAATCCGCATTCCTTCACATAGGGACTAGAAAAGAAAAAGTAAACTGTGCATAATAAGAAAGAGAACAATGATAGAGAAGTTAGGGAGTCTAGCTTCGAGCCCCAATGCTGGCATTTAAAAGCTATAGATAATTAGTAAATAAACAGAAAAACAGAGTAGATACCTGAGAGTTATCAATTCTCTGGCCACACACTATGCGAGGGCTAGAGCAGGAAACAGCGCTGATGGCCCTGCTTCGCTGGAGGACATCTTTGCCCTTCAGTGCATCCCCAGCAACCCAAACCCAAATGCCTGGTGGTTGACCCAGGAAGAAGGTGGGCAGCAGGAAGAGGCAGTGTGCAGCACCCGTGTGGCTCTGATGGGCACAACCCCACACAGCTCCCAGGACCCAGACATCAGCACGCGCAGATTTTCACGAGGAACCAGGGTTAGGTTTCCACAGGAAACCTCTAGTTCTCTACTGTTGACACCTCGGTGAATAATTTTTTTTTTTCAAAGCATGAAGGACAAACACTCCTGTAGGCTGAATCTGAATCTTTTCCCCTGAGAATCATGTGGCTTTCTTTTCTGTTTTACAACTAACATAAATTGGAAGTTATAATCTAAAAGTTTAAGAAACGTTAGGACCACATCACTTCTCTGAGGTAGATATATATCTATTTTATTTATTTATTTATTTATTTTTGGTACCGGGTCCTTGTGCTTGCGCAGCAGGCGGTGAAACCACTGAGCTAAATCCCCGGCCCAGTAGATGTATAGCTACGAAAGGAATGAGTAGGATTAGAATGACTGCCAAAGTTCACTGGCAATTCTAACCTCTGAATCTACTACTATGTAAATCCAATGAAAATACCAGCAAGACCACATCACCTTAAAAAAGAAAAAAAAAATTCCAGGCACTCGTTAGCAATCAAAGGAAATAACGCTCAATTCTCAGCACAATTTGGAAAAATCTCTAGACACACAAGTGAAATACTTATGCATGTATACATGTACGGGAAAAAAGAATGGGGAAAGAAAACGGAAAGAACACACACAAACTTCACTGAACAAAGTAGTATGTTAAAAGAAAACCACACTTAACAAACCTCAACGCTAAGGATTTCAAGCTTCTCTTTTACAGACTTGCCCCCTTCTCTCTTCTCAATTTTCAACTTTTTTGTTTTTGCTGGGCCTTTCTGGTTCTTTTTCCTTTTGGTGGATTCTTCTTCATTGGAAATCTAAAGGGGAAAAATGATGCACAGAGGTCCAAAACGTGAGAAGTAGCAAATCCCTCACATCCCCTGTACCTTTTGGATTATGCATCACCTTCTGCTATTCTGTTACTCCCCGACTCCCCGCCATCCCACTCCCAAATGCTTCCATGACAAGCTATGTACTTTCAACTAAATATATAATCTCCCTGAGCCTCAGTTTCTTATCGTGGAATTGGAATTTATACTTTATTAAATAAAATAGTTGGAAAGATCACATAATATAAACATAAGACCATACTTCAAAAGTCATTTCCCTTCCCTCTGGCACTTATACTCTACTCCAGGTAAAACCACAAATTTTAATAAAAATTCTGCCAGTTATATGTGCTAAGGACCCCTTTTAAAAATACAATGATCAGGGCCAGGGATGTAGCTCAGTGGTTCCGCCGCCTGCCCTGCGAGCGCAAGGACCCAAGTTCGATCCCCAGTACCCCAAAAAAAGATCAAACTGCTTTTTTTCCATCCTTAATCAACACGGCACAGAATCCATAAGGACAAAGTACACTTCAAACTCAAAATAGTAAATGCCACGCTTTAATAAAAGATATGGCTTTCATGTTGTTGCAGTCTAACAATTTCAATTTATAGAAATGTATCTTAGGAAGAAACAAAACTACAAAGTAAGGATTATTCTTCACTAGGTTGCTAAAAAGAAGGTTCCTACTGATTTTCTCCCAAGAAAGCATGCTGCTTACGTCAAATAAGTTGTCATGTTCAACTAACTGCTGGTAAGATTTCTCTGACTTGTGGATCTTTCTTGTACCCCCTCGCGGAAAGTTTTCTTCTAGGGCTGCCATGTCTGGGGCTCCTGAAAACAATGCAAAGAATAACCATGAAATGTAGCAGTGGTCCAGGTTTCATAAAGGCTGGAATCGATGGACAAAAGAACCTTCTAGTAATGTTCTGGGCAGGAGTCAGGGCTATGACAGATGGTTAGGATGTGAGACCCCAGTTACTCCATATATCACTTTTCCAAAGATTTCTGCTTCAAAACTACAAACCACACACCTTTCTCCATGAAAAGGAGTTAGATTCAGTGTAGGATATAGTCATTAAGTAGCTACAATTATATGTCAGACATACATAAATGAATATATAAACCCTTACCTTTAAAAGCACACATTTAGATGATAAAACAGTAATACAAGCAATCTAAAATACAAACCAAATTATATACTATAAGCAAAGAGGTAGGAATGACAGACTTCTATAAAGGAGGCATGCTTCAAAAGGAGATGCTTTTGAGCTCAATGTTATAAGACAAACAGTCTAACAAGCAGAAAAGTAATACAAGCATACAAGACAACATGGTGGAGCACACCTGTGATCCCAGGACTTGGGGAAGCTGAGGCAGGAGGATCACTCGGAGTTAAGAGGCCAGCCTGAGCTACACAGTGTTACTGTTTAAAAAAAAAAAAAGAAACAGAAAAAAATTCTATTATTCAATAAACACCAGCAATCTGCATATTAACCATTCAAAGGATTGGTGCTCCCTTTCTTTGAAAATTTGTTTGATTAAGTACAAGAGGGAGAAAGCATAATAATTGGAGTTAAGTTTTAAAAGACAGGTTAGGGTTTGGGGGTAAGATATTAAATTAGAAATAGCTTATGTTTATTTTGACAAGCCAGATCCTTACCTGGGAGAAGAGACAGGACAGAAATCAAGAAAAATATACTTCAGGCTACTCAGTGGACAGGAAAAGAGAAGACTGAAGGCAAGTAAATCAGGGAAAAGGGCTCAAATGCAGTTCAGCAGAGGAACCGGAACTAGATGGAAGTTAGAACAGCCCGGTTCTGAAAGGTACTTGGGAGTAAGAATCTAGAGGTGCTTCAAGAGGGGACGATTGAGAACGAGCTTAAGATTTGGAACCAGCTGTGACTGCGTGCTTCACGCAAACAGTAAAGTGGAAGAGGTCTAATCTGCTGGGAATTCAACCCTTATTCTCATTTCAGACGGAAACTGAGGCTCCAAAAACTAAAGGGATCTGGGAGCAGAAAAGGGACTCAGGCTCTTTTCCGAGGACAGCCTGGGGTTACAGGAACCGCTAGAGCAGAGCTGGCTCGGGTGGACGAACCACTCACCACGACCAGAGGATGCTGGCAGGGACCCGGGGGACCTCGCCCTCGGGCAGACCTGAGAGGCACGAGTGGTCTTCCCTTCTTGCTTCTGCCCCCACTCACCAAGTTCCCGACAGCAGCACCTCTTCACCCCGGAGCCCGCGCGGTCGCACTCACAGGCGCGTGAACCACAGCATCTACACCATGCTGCTCTTCCGGATGCGTGGGCGGGCTCCAGGCGCCACTTCCGTTACTACGTCGAAACGTACTGGACCAGACTTTAATGTGGAGACCGGAAGCGGAAGGGCGGGACTTGGCTTCCCAGCCAATCGACGGAGAAGCCTGAGCCGCAGAGGCCCGTTGAACGCCGGCGGAGGAGGTGGCTTCTTCTGGCCGGGCGGTGGAGGGAGCTGTGTACGTTGAAGGGCGTCAGCTGCGGAATTTGTGGCTCTAGCGAGGTGAGTGAGTAGAGGCGCCCGGGATTGGACTTCGCGCCTCCGCTTTGTAGGGCCAACCGGAGTCTGACCGTTTCTGGCCCGGGAACACCGCGGGGACTGGGCTTTGTGGGGCAGAACGGCGGGGGATGAAAAAGGAGCTTGAGAAATGGGGTCGGGACCCGCGGGCGTGGGCCGCCGCGAGGAGGCCGGAGGGCGCGCGGACAGGCCTCCCGGGCTCCCTGAGATCGCACTCTGCTCCGGACAGACGGACGGACGCGCTGCGAGGGGAGTCCTTCAAGGTCACCTGTGACGTAACGGGCGCGGACCCAGGCTGTGCCGCGTCTCTGGCCCAGTTCGCCTCTTTTCTCGGAACGGCCTTGGATACTTCCCTTGAGCTGCGAGGAGCAAGCCGACGGCCAAGCCTCCCGTAGCTGCGCAGAGCCTTTGTTGGGTGAGCGCGAGCGCCAGCGGCCGGCCAGGCTCCTGCGGCTCCCTAGTCCCGCGCGCGGAGCTCTGGGGTTCAGTCCGCAGGGTCGGCGAGGCTTTTCTGGGGGCCGGAGCCGAGCGGCTCGCCCCCGAGTTTACTGTCACCTCTGCCTCGAAGTATCACCCCTCCAAGTCGCTGTCCAGTCGGGTGGGAGAACAACGGTATCGAAGAGCGGAACCTGCCAAGGGCCGCTGGTCGCTTTGGCTCTCTATTCAAGTGCTCGCTTTAAGGCGGAGAACAGCAGGAAGGGATTGCTTGTATTTGTCCTATTGGTTAGCGCCTTAATTAGAAACGGATCCAGAGGCCCTGTGTGCTTAGGCTTTCCCAGAGGCTGCCATCTGACAACATTAAAACAACTTCACGAGTATGAGTCTTAGGTGATTTTCTTCTTCATTAATATGTTTTTCTAAACTTACCTCTGACTTAAAGGGAAGCGAGTTTCAGTTTAATTATTGCACAGAGGGCGTTCTAAAACAAGGCTTCCCCCAAAAAAGAAAGATGGAGTAAATACATTTAGGGCCGGGGATTTAGCTCAGTGGTTCCGCCGCCTGCCTTGCAAGCGCAAGGTCCCAAGCTTGATCTCCTGGTACCAAAAAAAAAAAAAAAATGGACTAAACAAGCCTTCCCGATCTTTGCCCTCCAGTAGCCTGCCCTTTGCTAAAGGTTGCAGACGTAGATGTTTGGGGCTTATTCGCGTTATCTCAACAACACCCCCACCCTCCCTCGGTCTCAGCCTCTCTGAAACCTCTCTTTTCAGATCTACAGTGAATTTCAGTTCCTATGCCATGCCTTTTCCTGTAGTCAGAATTAGTGTTCTGTGGAATACCACAAACATCTGGCTGGCTTACTCCCATGTTTAGAGTGAAATTTAAATCACCTTAATGTTTCAGTTGGACACCATATATCGCAAAAAATTTTGCTAGGCACATTGCATGGGAATTGTCAGTTAACAAGTTAACACAGTTAAGCACTTGTTTCTGTAGTGTTTCTTGTAAGAACCTACTTCAGTTCTCTTTCCCATCTTGCAAGATGGCAGGCGAAAAAGCTGAGAAGCCCAGTACTAAAGAGGAGAAACCTGAAGTCAAGAAGGCTGATGCCACTGGCACGGTTAAAAAGAATGTGAAGAAGGCTAAAAAATCCAAGAAGGGGCAGCCCCACTGCAGCCGAAACCCTGTCCTGGTTAGAGGAATTGGTAGATACTCCCGATCTGCTATGTATTCCAGAAAGGCTTTGTACAAGAGGAAGTACTCGGCTGCTAAATCCAAGGTTGAGAAGAAAAAGAAGGAGAAGGTTCTTGCTACTGTCACAAAACCAGTTGGTGGTGACAAAAATGGCGGTACCCGGGTGGTTAAGCTTAGCAAAATGCCTAGGTATTACCCTACTGAAGATGTGCCCCGAAAGCTGCTGAGCCATGACAAAAAACCCTTCAGTCAGCACGTGAGGAAACTTCGAGCTAGCATCACTCCCAGCACCATCTTGATCATCCTCACTGGACACCACCAAGGCAAGAGAGTGGTTTTCCTGAAGCAGCTGGCCAGTGGCTTGCTACTTGTGACTGGTCCTCTTAACCTTAATCGAGTTCCTCTGCATAGAACACACCAGAAGTTTGTCATTGCCACCTCCCCCAAAATTGATATCAGGAATGTGAAAATCCCCAAACACCTCACTGATGCTTACTTCATTCAAAAAGAAGAAGCTGCGGAGGCCCAGACACCAGGAGGGTGAGATCTTCGACACCGAGAAAGAGAGATACCAGATTTCAGAGCAGCGCAAGGTAGATCAGAGAGTGGTGGACTCGCAGATTTTACCAAAAATTAAAGCTGTTCCTTAGCTCCGGGGCTACATCCGATCCCTTTTTGCTCTGACAAATGGAATGTACCCTCACAAATTGGTGTTCTGAATTTCTTACTAAGAACCAAATTAAATAACTGCCAGGTTGAAAAAAAAGAACCTACTTCATACCATAATAAAAAAAAAGTATCACAAAATGAGTGAGGGAAGTAGATTTAGCAAAGTGAGAGTTGATGTTAAAACTATGTCATAAAGATTTCTTTTAATGGAGATTTTCCAACTTGAGCTAGACTGGCAAAGGACCATGAAGTGACCTAAGACAATTTGGCTTTTCCTCACCAAAACCTGTCCGAAACTTTCAAAATTAAAATCTTAAATTGTCATTAGCATTTCTGTGCATGTGAATGTCGCTAAATGCCTTAGAATGGCAAATAGAGGAGAGCCAGTTTCCGTAGCAACAGCTCCCTCCCTAATCTCTCTTTTCCATTTCATCAAAAGAGCCAGCAATCACTGCCACTGACTACCAGTCAACCAGACCTCAACCAGCTAGTCTGTGTTACCAATTGACCAGGCATGGCAGTAGATAGGTGGTCACACATGAATTTTCAACTGCTGCTCTATGGTTACCTTTGGAATGTCTCTATTTCCTATGATAAAAGGAATACATGCCTTTGTAAAACACAGGAACTATAGACCTGACCTGTCTTAAAGTTTGCTATATATTCTCCAGAACTTTAATGTGTGTTAGAATTCTCTAGAGGCCTTATTCAAACATTGCTAGGCCCAGCGTTGTTAATCCAGTGGGCCTGTGGCAGGGCCTGAAAATCTGCATTTGTAGTAAGTTGCCAGCAGTGCTGATGCTGCTGGTCTAGGGACCACACTTAATCATTAACATGCTCTATACTGTGTTATTCAGAAATACAATTTTTTATTATTTTGAATTTTTTTGTGGTTTGGTTTGGTTTTGGTTTTTTGAGACAAGATCTTGTTATGTAGTTCAGGGTGGCCTTGAAGTCACTTTCTAGCCCATACTACCCTTGAACTTGTGGCAATCCTCCTGCCTCAGCCTCCTGAGTGCTGGGATTAGTCATGTACCACCACATGCCTGGCAATTTTTTATTATTTACCATTACTTAGAGTCCTCTTCCCATGTCAATACACAAAAGATCCATGGACATTGCATTTCTTCTAATGGAAGCCATTATTTATCAGTCTTAAATAGATGGACTTTTAGTTTTTCCAGTTTTTTACTTTCATAGACAGTATTTTAACTGGGGATGGTGCCTCATGCTTTATAAGCCCAGCATTCTGGAGGCTGAGATAGGAAGATCACCATGAGTTCAAGGTCAGCCTGGGCTATGTAGTGAGTTCAAAGCCAACCTGAACTGCATAGAGAGACCCTGTCTCAAAGTATTTCAGTAACTATTCTTGAACCACATAATTTCCACTTTATGATATTTCTATAAGGTTGAGTTCTTGGAGAAGAGATGAACCAGCTAGATGGAAAGATATACTTATTATATGATAGATATTCCAAATTGTACTTTAGGAAGATTGTACCAGTTTATACTCCAAGAAACAAAATGCTGAGTCCCATGTTTATTTAACATCATTTCTTACAATTTTATCTATGCCAGTTTGATGGGTAAATGCTAATCTCATTTTACATTTCTTTTTATTTATTTATTTTTTGGGTACCAGGGATTAAACTCAGGACCTTGCGGTTGTGAGGCAGGCATGGTGTCACTGAGCTACATCCCCAGCCCACGTTTTAGATTGATTGTCTTTTTATGTTTTGCCTTTTTCATTCGGGTATTCTTTATATTTTCCCTTTGCCAAGATGATTAAAATATTTTCCTGTGTATCCTTGAAGTTTTTGGGCATTTAGCTCAGTGGTGTCGCCACCTGCCTCAGAAGTGCAAGGTCCCGAGTTCGATCCCTGGTACAAAAAAAAGTTTTTGGTTTTGTTGTTTATATTAACATTGTATTTTGGTGTAAAGAGTAGGGAATCCAGCTCCCCGCCCCCCAACAATGGCTAGTACTTCACCTCCACTTAGTAAATGATCCCTTCTTTCCCCTTTTTTTCCTAAGTGATTTATAATAAGAAAAACTGTAAAAGTAGAGGTTGTAAGTTGCTTTAGTAGCAGTCACCCCTTTGAGAAAGTTCGAAAAATATCACAAGCTGAAAATTTCAACTACTAGTCTTAAAACTGGTTAATTCATACCTATGTTTATACCAGCAGCACCACCTGGACTATTCATAGTAGCTCATAACTCATAATAGCTAATTTTGGATGCAGCTTCTATGTCCATCAACAGGTGGATTTTAAAATGTGCTTATACACAATGGAGCACTCTCTGCTATAATGGAGGACAAATTTGAGTCGTTTTCAGGAAGGAAAGTGGATGCACCTTGAGACCATAATTTTAAATGAAATAAATCAGACACACAAGCTTAAATATTACATCATTTTTCTTACATAAGAAACCCAAAGTATAAAGAGAAAAATAAAATATGGGTAATAGGGAACAGGGAGATCGATCTTTTGCAAATGGGAAGGGGAACAAGAGTTGAAGGGGGACATAAAAAGAATTAAGATGTGTCATGTACGTGTACCAATTCCCCATGATGAATGTGATCATCATGTACTGTAGACATGCACTAATAAAAATTTTTAAAGCCCAAATTTCATAACTTAAAAAAAACTGGTTCAATGAACCATAGTAGACAGAGCTAGGAATGAAAACTGAACTATACTGAATCAGAGGGCAGACTTAATGAATACTTGTGTGTTCCTGTGTTAAGTGGTTTGACACATTCTGGAGTGTTTATGAAACAGTAGCCAGGTTAAAGTCCTAAACTGTTTTCACCCTCTTTGCTACTGCTGTGTTGGCCAAAACAGAGATAAGAATTATGCACAATGACTCTTAGTATTTAAACTAAAACCGTTTTTTTCTTTTGAATTGCATCCAAACCAATTTATTATTGCTTTCTTTTTTTAAAAGATTGAAATCATGGCAGGTCCAGAAGCCGACGCCCAGTACCAGTTCACTGGCATCAAAAAATATTTCAACTCTTATACTCTCACAGGTAGAATGAATGTAAGTATTAATGATACCTTTAAGCAGTTATATTTTAGAATAATACAGACATGGCAATAACTCTTGTTTACATTTTTCTTTTTCAGTGTGTACTGGCCACATATGGAGGCATTGCTCTGACGATCTTGTATTTCAAGTTAAGATCTAAAAAAACAAAAACACCAGCTGTGAAAGCAACATAAGTGGTAAGAAGCTAGCATTTAAAACTTTATAGGGGCCGGGGATGTAGCTCAGTGGCACCACACCTGTCTGGCAAGTGCAAGGTCCTGAGTTCAATTCCCAGTACAAAAATAGTAATAGAATAAAAAATAAAACTTTAAAACCGGCCAGCTATCATGGTGCATGCCTGGAATCCTGGCTGTTCCTGACCCTGAGGCAGGAGGATCACAAGTTCATGACCAGCTTGGTCAATTCAGTGAACCTGTCCAAATAAAATTTAAAAGAGCTGGAGATGTACCTCAGTGGTAGAATGTTTGAGTAACATGCTTAAGGCTCTGGGCTCAATCCCCAGTATGTTTCTTTTTAAAAGTTTATAACAGCCATTTTTATATCTGTTACCATAACAGTAAACTATTACCATTTTGCAAATTTATTGCATACAGGAAAGAAAGTATATTGCCTATATATCTCATTACTTTGACAATTTTTATTAATATTTTGGCTTAGTTCTTTGTGTATTTGGTTTCCAAAGGCTATGATCATGTCTATAATTTTATAAAAAGTATTTTCTTGGGCTAAGGATCTACCTCAGTGGTTCTGCCGCCTGCCTCGTAAGCGCGAGGTCCTAAGTTCGATCCCTGGTACCAAAAAAAGAAAAAATAGTATTTTATTATGATTTGAATGCATGAGTATTCATGTATTTCACAGAAGAAATCCTCATAATTTAAAAAAAATTATCAATGAATGCTCTGAACCTGAAGCAGTTTGTATCTATGCATGTTTTCTTAGGTTAAAGGATCATGAGGCACCCAGCTTTGTAAAAGGTTGTCTTTTGCTTTACCCATTGTGAATTACTATCAGTTTGCTAATTTGATAAGCAAAAAACCATGATCTGGGTTGTACACCATGCTACATGCCTGTAATCCCAAGTTACTTGGGAGGTCCAAGACCAGCCTGGAAAACTAAGCAAGATACTTATAATAAAGAACTGGGGATTGCTTCTCAGCCTTTTGGCTAAGATCAAGTGAAGAACTGGGGATATTGCTCCAGACCCCCTGGATTCAATTCCCAGTACTGGAGTGTATACGTGGTGGGGGGGGGGGGTCTCTCTTGCTTTTTCTTCTACTGTTTGTATTTTTCATAATATCCCACTCCTGTCCTTATTTAACTAGATGACTTGTATAAGCTCTTCATGTAGCAATTATTTTTGCTTTTTGCAGTGCTGGGAATCAAACCCAGGGCATTGTGCATGCTAGGTAAGTGCTCTGCACTGAGCTACATCCCCAGCCCTGACTAAACTTCAGTTATTTGTTGTCTTTTGGTAGTCTATCTGCCAGTTTCATATTTTCATATAATCAGTTGTCTTTTCTCAGCTCCCATAATGTTTGCTTGTATTACCTCAAGCCCCATTTGTCCATTCTTAAATGAATAAATGTCTGATGTTAGTCACAGATAATATGCAGGCAGCCCAAAATCCAGATCTTCATCTGATATAATTCTCCTTCGGATAGTAATTTTTCTTCTCTTAGAGCTTTTCCAATCTCAAAATGTTGCTCTTAGGAGACTGCATATTCTGGAATCCAGTGGCCTGAGCCTTATTCCTGACAAATAGGTAGTTTTTTGGCTAATTTCTCATATAATGTAACTCCTAACTTGGGGAGGGTGGCAGTACCCAATTATAATGAAAAACTGTCTCTTATTAAGATGGGAATCTATTTTGTTATTTCTTTT